CTTTCTTTCTTTTTTTTTTTATAAAGACGATTTTAGAAAAGATTTATTTATTTATTTAGAGAGCGTGAGCAGGGGAAAGGGCAGAGGAAGAGGAAGAAAGAATCTCAAGCAGACTCCGCACTGAGCTTGAGCTCATGACCCCGAGATAATGACCTGAGCCAAAGTCAAGAGTCAGACACTTAACCAACTGAGCCACCCAGTTGCCTCTTGGGATTGTTTTCTTATTTCTCTTTCTACTTCTTCATTACTGGTGTATAGAAATGCAACAGATTTCTGTAGATTGATTTTGTACCCTGTGACTTTACTGAATTTGTTTATCAGTTCTAGCAGTATTTTTGGTGGAGTCTTTGGGGTTTTCTATATATAGTATCATGCCATTTGCAAATAGTGAGGCTTTTACTTCTTCCTTACCAATTTGGATGCCTTTTATTTCTTTTTGTTGTCTGATTGCTGTGGCTTCTGGTACTGTGTTGAGTAACTGTGGTGAGAGTGGACATGCTTGTCTTGTTCCTGACTTTAGGGGAAAGGCTCTCAGTTTTTCCCCACCAAGAATGATGTTAGCTGTGGGTTTTTCCTAGATGGTCTTTATTATGTTGAGGTGTGTTACCTCTAAACCTACTTTGTTGAGGGTTTTTACCATGAATGGATGTTGTATTTTGTCAAATGTTTTTCCTGCATCTATTGAAACATTCATATGATTCTTATCCTTTCTCTTATTGATGTGATGTATCATATTGTTTGATTTGCAAATATTGTACTACCCTTGCAATTCAGGCATAAATCCACTTGACTGTGATGAATGACTTTTTAAATGTATTGTTGGATTAGGTTTGCTAGCATTTTGTTGATGAATTTTGCATCTATGTTCATCAGAGATATTGGCCTGTATTGTTCTTTTTTTGTGGTGTCTTTATCTGGCTTTGGTGTCAGGGTAATGCTGGACTCACAGAATGAATTTGGAAGTTTTCCTTTTTTTTTTCCTTTTTCTATTTTTTGGGAACAGTTTGAGAAGAATAAGGATTAACTCTTCTTTACATGTTTGGTAGAATTCACCTGTGAAGCCATCTGATCCTAGACTTTGTTGAGAATTTTTAAATTACTGATTTCTTAATTTCTTTGCCAGTAATTGGTCTGTTCAAAATTTCTATTTATTCCTTCTCATTTTGATAGTGTATATGTTTCTAGGAATTTATCCATTTCTTCTAGGTTGTCCAATTTGTTAGCATACAGTTTTTCATAATATTCTCTTACAATTGTTTGTATTTCTGTGGTGTTGGTTGTTTTTTCTCCTCTCTCATTTGTGATTTTATTTACTTGGGTCTTTTCTCTTTTTTTCCTGATAAGTCTGGCTAGTGGTTTATCAATTTTATTCACTTTTTTTTTTTAAAGAATCAGCTCCTGGTTTCATTGATCTGTTCTATTGTGTTTTTAGTTTCTATATCATTCATTTTTGCTCTAGTCTTTATTATTTCCTTCCTTTTGCTGGTTTTGAGTTTTGTTTGTTGTTCTAGCTCCTTTAGGTGTAAGTTTAGATTTTTTATTTGAAATTTTTCTTGCTTCTTGAGGTAGGCCTACATTGTTATAATCTTCCCTCTTAGAACCACTTTTGCTGCATCCCAAAGGTTTCAAACTGTTATGTTTTCATTTTCATTTGTTTCCGTGTATTTTTTCATTTCTTCTTTTATTTCCTGGTTGACTCATTTGTTGTTTAGTAGCACGTTATTTAATGTTTCTAGATATTTTCTTATGGTTGATTTCTAGTTTCATAGCACTGTGGTCAGAAAAGATGCATGGTATGACTTTAATCTCTTTAAATTTGTTGAGGTTTGGGACACCTGGCTGGCTCATTCAGTTAAACATCTGCCTTCAGCTCAGGTAATGATTCTAGCATCCTGGGATCGAGCCCTACATCGGGCTTCTTGCTCAGCAGGGAGCCTGCTTCTTCCTCTTCCTGCCACTCTCCCTGCTTGTGCTTGTTTGCTCTCTCTCTCTCTCTCTGATAAATAAATAAATAAATAAATAAATAAATAAATAAATAAATAAATAAATTTGTTGAGGCTTATCTTGTGGCCTTATATGTGATCTATTCTGGAGAATGTTCCATGTGCTCTTGAAAAGAATGTGTATTCTGCTGTTTTAGGATGGAATGTTCTGAATGTATCTGTTAAATCCATCCGGTCTACTGTGTCATTCAAAACCATTGTTTCCTTGTTGATTTTCTGTTTGGATGATCTATAGGTGGGGCGTTAATGACCCCTACTACTATTATATTGTTATCGATTAGTTTGTTATTAACTGTTTTATTTATTTGGGTGCTCCTATGTTGGGTGCATAAATATTTACAATTGTTATATCTTGTCGGATTGTCCCCTTTATTATTATATAGTGTCCTTCTTTGTCTCTTGTTAAAGCTTTTGTTTTAAAGTCTGTCTTGATATAAGTATTGCTATTCTGGCTTTCTTGTGACATCCATTTGCATGATCAATTTTCTCTATTCCCTCCCTTTCAATCTGCAGGTGTCTTTAGTAGGTAGCATATAGATGGGTCTTGTTTTTTATCCATTCTGTCATCCTACATCTTTTGATCAGAGCATCTAGTCCATTTACATTCAAAGTGATTATTGATAAATACGTATTTATTGCTGTTTTATTGCTTGTTTTGTGGTTGTTTCTGAAGGTTTTCCCTGATCCTTTCTTGCCTTTTATTCATGGTTTGCTGGTTTTCTTTAGTGATATATTTGGATTTTTTCTCTTTATTCTTTGCATATTTATTAGTGGTTTTTGATTTGTGGTTACAATTTAGTTTGTATATAACATCTTCTGCATATAGTTCTATATTAAGTTGATGGTCATTCTTTTTTTTTTTTTAAGATTTTATTTATTTATTTGACAGAGATACACAGCAAGAGAGGGAACACAAGCAGGGGGAGTGGGAGAGGGAGAAGCAGGCTCCCCCACTGAACAGGAAGCCTGATACGGGGCTCAATCCTAGGACCATGGGATCATGACCTGAGCTGAAGGCAGACGGTTAATGACTGAGCCACCCAGGCGCCCAAGTTGATGGTCATTCTTTACTCCTCTCCTCATGTTTTAGGTATATGGTGTCATATTGTACATCCTTTTATTTTGTGACTTCTTTGACTGATTTTTCACAGAAATATTAATTTTTACTGCTTTTGTGTTTCCTATCTTCATACTGTCATTTTTGGTCTTTCCTTTACACTCAAGAGTCCCTGTTAGTATTTCTTTTTTCCTTTTTTTTTTAAGAAGAAGGTCTTTTTTTTTTTTTTTTAAGATTTTATTCATTCATTTCACAGAGAGAGACACAGTGAGAGAGAGAACACAAGTAGGGGCAGTGGGAGAGGGAGAAGCAGGCTTTCCCGCAGAGCAGGGAGCCCAATGTGGGGCTCGATCCCAGGACCCTGGGATCATGACCTGAGCCGAAGGGAGATGCTTAACGACTGAGCCACCCAGGCGCCCCCCGCCCCCCCCCGTCCCCCGTTAGTATTTCTTGCAGGGCTAGTTTAGTGTTCATAAACTCCTTTAGTTTTTGTTTGTCTGGGAAATTCTTTATCTCTCCTTTTCTGAATGATAGCCTTGCTGGATAGAGTATTCTTGGCTGCAGGTTTTTCCCTTTCAGCACTTTGAATATATTGTACCAGTCCTTTCTGGCTTGGAAAGTTTCTGCTGAAAAAATCCACTGATAGCCTCATGGGGTTTCCTTTGTATGTAACTGTCTTCTTTTGTATTGTAGCTTTTAATACTTTTTAAAATCATTATATTTTGCCATTTTAATTACAATATATGTGGGTGTGGATCTGTTTTGGTTGATTTTGTTGGGGGCTCTCTGTGACTCTTTGATCTGGATATCTATTTCTTACTCCAGATTAGGAAAGTTTACAGCTATTATTTCCTCAAATAAATTCTCTGCCTGCGTTTCTCTCTCTTCTTCTTCTGGGACTCCTATATTACAAATGTTATTAGATAAGTCTAATTTCATTTTGCATAATTCCTTTTTTCTCTTTTGTCCACTTGATTATTTTCCTCCACTCTGTCTTCTACGTCATTAATTTGTTTCTCTGCTTCTTCCAGCCTGCAGTTCATTCCATCAAGTGTGTTTTTCATTTCATTTATTGAGTCCTTTGTCTCTGCTATGTTATTCCTTATTTCTGTGTTAAAAGTCTCACTCATGTCCTCCAATCTTCTCAATTCCAGTGAGTATCCTTGTGATGATTGCTTTAAATATTCCATCAGGCATGTTATTTATATCTGTTTTGCCTAGATGTCTGGCCATGGCCTTGTTTTGTTCTTTCTTTTTGGACAAATTCCTCTGTTTTCTCTTTTTGTCTAAGTCTCTGTGCCTGTTTCTCTGTGTTAGGAAAGTCAGCTATGTTTCCTGTTCTTGAGAGTAATGGCTTTATGAAGAAGAGGTCCTGTAGTGCCTGCAGCATAGTGTCCTCTGTTCTCCAGGGCCTGGCACTTCCAGGAGTGTCTCCAATGTGTGCTGCATGTGCTCTGCTATTGTGTCTTGGTCACTTTAACCTTCAGGCCAGTTGTCTGCAGAGGCTCTCTTTGCCTGTTGTGGGCAGTGTTTGGTCCCTGGCCTGCATGTGGTGAGTTTTAACTATGTGTGCTCTGGTCTGCTTGTGAAATGAGACCCATCACCACCACCAGCAGAACCATGGGCTCAAATAACTCTTGGGTCTGGAGACAATGGTGTTGGGAAGGGTTTGGGCTGGTCTTTTGGGGGAGGGGCCCACTACATTGTGACTGAGGTAAGTGTGACTGAGAAGGGTGGTTCTTCTGAAGTTTGTCTGTGGGAGTGGGTTTTGGGGTAAGCAAGTTACATGGTGAATGTGGGTGCTTTGCTGGTTCCCACAGGTGGTTCTGTGCTTATGCTGAGTGGTGGGGGAGGGAAATGGCACCAGCTAGCTCCTTTGTTTCTGAAGAGGTCTCTCCATGTGTGTTGCCTCTCTGGGACATGCTCCAAGATGAGCAACTAACCTCACTCCTGCGTGCCCCAGGCATTCTTCAGATCAGTTTCCATGCTGTATGTCCATGAGTTGTTTGCTTGTCTTCTCTCCAAGAGCAGTCCCAATGGCCTCTGAGCTCTCCTAGAGTCAAGCATACTGACCTTTAAAACTCCAGACTTTAAGTCCCACTGACTGTAAGAACTCACAAAATTTGGGCCCTTTCATTTTACAAGACAATTGCTATGGGGATTTGTTTTCCCATGTGCTTCCCTGTATGCTAGTTTGTTTCTCACCCTTTTCTGAGGCCACAGGCCCCTTCTTACTGCAGTGGCCACAATCTGTTTCTCTCCCAAATCGTGTCTCTGCACTTCCTACCTTCTTCCATGTGGCCTCTTCATTACTTTTATTTATTTATTTTTTAAATTCTTTCTGTCTTTAAAAAAATTTTTTTTTAAAGATCTTATTTATTTATTTGAGAGAGAGAGACACAGTGAGAGAGGGAACACAAGCAGGGGAGTGGGAGAGCGAGAAGCAAGCTTCCTGTGGGGCAGGGAGCCCGATGTGGTGTTCGACCCCAGGACCCTGGGATAATGACCTGAGCCAAAGGCAGATGCTTAAAGACTGAGCCACCCAGGCACCCCTCTTTCTTTATTTTTTTTTTAATTTTTTTTTAAAAGATTTTATTTATTTATTTGACAGAGAGAGACAGCGAAAGAGGGAACACAAGTAGGGAGAGTGGGAGAGTGAGAAGCAGGCTCCTCGTTGAGCAGGGAGCCCAATGTGGGGCTCGATCCCAGGACCCTGGGGTCATGACCTGAGCCAAAGGCAGCCACTTAACTGACTGAGCCACCCAGGTGCCCCTCTTTATTTTTTTAAAAAATACTTTATTTATTTGAGAGAGAGAGTGAGAGAGAGAGAGAGCACAAGCAAGGAGGAGGGGTAGAGGGAGAGGGAGAAGCAGGCTCCCCGACAAGCAGGGAACCCGATGTGGGACTCGATCTCAGGACCCCGGGATCATGGCTCAAGCCGAGGGCAGATGCTTAAACAACTGAGCCACCCAGGTGCCCCTTAATTCTTTATTTAAATTCAGTTTAGTTAACATATTCTGTATTATTAGAATTTAGTGATTCATCAGTTGCATATTACACCCAGTTCTCATTACATTAAATGCCCTCCTTAATGCCCATCACCCAACTACCCCAACCCCCCCCCACCTACCTCCCCTCCAGCAACCCTCTGTTTCTTGGAGTTCAGTGTCTCTTATGGTTTGCCTTTCTATTTTCATCTTATTTTATTTTTCCTTCCCTTCCCCTATGTTCATCTGTTTTGTTTCTTAAATTCCACATATAAGTGAAATCATATGGTATTTGTCTTCCTCTGACTGACTTATTTTGCTTAGCATTATACCCTCTAGTTCCTTCCATGTCTTTGCACATGGCAAGATTTCATTCTTTTTGATGGCTGAGTAATATTACATCTCTTCACTACCTTTAGTTGTGGATTTTGTTCTGCTTGTCTGCAGGTCAATTTCTGGAGTACTTAAGATGATTTGGTAGTTATCTAGTTGTATTCATGGGATGAGGTGAGCCTGGGGTCCTCCTACTCTACTCCTATTTCCCCTTCTCCCTTTTCTCCTAGATCACCTATTATTAAATTATAGTGAACATATTTTCCTCTTTTCTCTAAATCTCAATTTTTTTCTCTCTCATTCTGTGATGACCTTTGGGTTCTGGGTTAATCCAGCCAGTCTCTTGATTTTTCTCTTTAGTTATAACTAATCTACTGTTCAATTTATTCACTAAATTTTTATTTATAATTTTTAGAAATTTGTTTTGCATTTCTACTTGTTCTTGTTTCATTTATTCTTGTTCTTTCTTACATTTTTTCTTTTAGAGAGTTTATAATTTTAAAATACTTATTTTTTCACCTCAATAATATTGTTCTACATTTAAATCCTAGGCTAACATGGTTATTACAAGGTTATTAATTCTTCAGTGATGGCTTTTTTCTTTCCCCTGTTCCCTATCTTCAGGGGCAAATGAAGCTTTAATTCACATTTACTAAGTGGCTTTCTTTTTCTTTTTTTCTTTCTTTTTTTAAAAAGATTTTTAAATTACTTATTTATTTGAGAGCGAAAGAGCACAATCGGGGGAGTGGCAGAGGGAGAGGGAGAGGGAGAAGCAGACCCCTTGTTGAGCAGGGAGCCCGACGTGGTACTTGATCCCAGGACCCTGGGATCATGACCTGAGCCCAAGGCAGATGCTTAACGACTGAGCCACTCAGGCACCCCTACAGTGGTTTTCATTCCCTTTGTGTTTCTGAAACCTGACAATTTAACTTTCTTTCTTGAGTATTCAGCTTTACATTTAAAACAAAGCTTTTGAATTTATTCAGCAGTTCTAGGTGTTTATCACAAGAGAATTTTCAGGTTATCTGCTCTGTCAACTTGCTAAACTTGAAGGTTATTAATTTTGTGTGTATGTGTGTTTTAATTTAAACCATTTTTAAATTGTGGTAAAACACATACCATAAAATTTATTAATTAGCTTTTAATAAGGTGAGTAAAACTGCAGAAAGAATGCCCATTTTTAGTTGCAGTATTAGAAAGGACTTCTTAGTACATTAGTAAGAAGTGAAGGTTTTCCAAGGGAATGAGAGACAGAGAGGCAGAGATTGGAGGACATATTCTGGGAATGGTAAATAATTGGTTTGGCTGGATGGTAGTACATGTTATCTGGAATGATGTGAGCAATTTTCTGGAATAGTAAATTAGGGACAGACTGTGGAGGGCCTTGGCTTTCTGCTTAAGGGAATATGGACTTTGAAACTCTGAAGTTTTCAATATTAGTTCTTTTTTTTTTTTTTTAAAGATTTTATTTATTTATTCATGAGAGACACAGAGAGAGGCAGAGGGAGAAGCAGGCTCCCAAGGAGCAGAGAGCCCGATGCAGGACTCGATCCCAGGACCCTGGGATCATGACCTGAGCCGAAGGCAGACGCTTAACCATCTGAGCCACCCAGGCGCCCTAGTTCTTTTTTTTTTTTTTTTAAGATTTTATTTATTTATTTGAGAGAGAGAGAGAGGAGACCAGGGGGAGGAGCAGAGGGAGAAGGACAAGCAGACTCGTGCTGAGCACAAAGCCTGACACTGGGCTAAATCTCACGACCCTGAGATCATGACCTGAGCCAAAATAAAAAGTTAAGTGCTTAACCAACTGAGCCACCCAGGCGCCACTTGAACTTAGTTCAATTTGAAGGTCAGTGTTGGTAGCAGTGTATAGAATGATTTAGAGGGTGGTGAGATTGATGTCAGAGACCAATTAGGAACCTACTGCAGTAGCCCAAGAAGAAGATATGAAGACACGTAATAGGGGTAAGGCCTGACAAAGGCTCAGAGTTGTTGAAATGACCAAAGCATAATTGTAGTTATTAATGAAATTGGGGCAGAGAAAGGATGCTGATATAGCCATATGACAGCATTCTCTAGAGCTAAGTTGCTTCTGAATGGAGTAGCATTATGAACTCTTAGAGATGCTATTTATAAAATGTCTGCTCATTAGTCTGTTGTGCTAGTTAGAGCTTTCCTGTGATTGAACCCAGGCTTGAAAAGCATGCATCAGTATAGTTTGAAAAATGGTTTTAAGACAGGGAGTGTCAAGTAAAACAGAATGATCCATAGCTCTACATAGTATAAACAACTGCTCTTAGCATCATCAGTAAGAGTTTTAAGTGGTCTCCCATTGTTTGCTTCTGGTGTTAACAAGATCTTCTGAAATCATTGATCTGGACTTTCTATAACCAAATGTCTTAACAGGCCAAATTGATCACCTGTTTCTACTGGGACATATGTCCAGTTGGCATGATGGACACCCAAACTGTCTTCATTTGAGCTTGTTTTCTTATTACTCTGGTATGTTCTAAGGTGATTTTCTTATATGTCCTGAGTAGGAGTCTCACTTTCCTAAACTGTTGTGGGTTGTTTTCTAACTTGTTTCTTTCTTTTTTTTTTTTTTTAATTTTATTATGTTATGTTAGTCACCATATAATACATCATTGGTTTTTGATGTGGTGATCCACGATCCATTGTTTAACTTGTTTCTTAATTGGCTAAATTTAAATGAACACCAGCTATTTTGAAATGCCACATTTAATATATAATGAATGAATGAACTGATGAAAAGCAATAAAATTATGAAACTAAGAAGTTTATTGGAGAGGAACTCAAATAATTTTGAGAATGAGTTGTCAAGGTGTGGGTGTGGACAGAGGAAAGAAAGAACCTGGGAAGTAAAGGCAAATATTGATGCTCCCTCACCAAATTTGTAACATCTATATAGATTTTGCTTTTAACCTTTATATATTCCTTTATGTGTTTCTCTAATTGCTAGTTTTTGTTCATCATGTGACAACTTGCATTTCACGTATTTCACATTTTTGGTGTGTTTGTTCCACAGTGCCTTTTAAATTCATACCCTTGATGCCTACCATGGTTTTTATTACATAACAAATATTCAACGAATCTTGTTATATAAATGATTGAATGGGTGAATGCTATTAAAAAGCAGTTGAGGGGCACCTGGTTGTCTCAGCTGGTAGAACATGTGACTCTCGTTCTCTGGGTTGTGAGTTCCAGCCCCACATTGGGTGTAGAGAGTACTTAAAAGATAAAAAATTAAGAAACAGAAGTTGAATGATATTTTGGAATCACAATTACTACACTACTAAAGAACATTAGGGTACCTTTACATTCCTTTTCTCCCTTTTGAACTTCTCTATCAACATTTGTTGAGCACTCAGTACAGGTAAGCATCATGTTACATGCTGGAAATTACAGTGATTTGTTCTTTCATCTTGAAATAGTTTGGCAGTTGATGAAAAGCTTTAAAGTTTGTTATTTAAAGGGGCACCTGGGTGGCTCAGTTGGTTCAGCGTCTGCCTTTGGCTCGGGTCATGATCCCGGGGTCCTGAGATTGAGTCCCAGGTCAGGGTGCTTGATCAGCGGGAAGTCTGCTTCTCTTTCTCTGCCCCTACCCCCTGCTCGTGTTCTTTCTCTCTCTCTCTCTGACAAATAAATAAATAAAATCTGGGGCGCCTGGGTGGCTCAGTTGTTAAGCATCTGCCTTCAGCTCAGGTCATGATCC